ATGGCCGGCCATTTGGTTCTCTTGCTCAACCTGCCGCGTTTTCCTTTCTGAATGTCGGGATCACCGGCCTTCTCGTCTGCGGGGGTGGCCTCGCAGTCGGCACTGGGACTGTCCTCTTCGTAAGGGAAATCTGTGTGAATGACACTGTTTGGACTGAGCATGCCGTCCGCAGAGTTGTCCATCGGTTCATAACAAGGAGTGGACACATTCTCTGTTTTGATTATTTCATGTGGAGCTTTTAACGCAACTTGGGCCTCTGGGCTCTGACATTTTATGGGAACATCGACTGACGAGTCTTGAGTAAGACAAGAGTTTTCACTCTGGGCATATGGAGTGTGGTAACCTCCATCAGGGAGGCTATCAAATGTTGAGAGACTGTTTCCATTATCTAACTGGCTAGTCACACTGCCACTGCTTTTCCCCACATCTACGCGGTCTCCACTGCCCTCTGGATGCATTAGTCCATACTGATGCCCTCCGTTATGTATTTGCCCTCCATTGTCAAGCATCAGAGAACTGGACACGTACTGAGACATCAAACTTGAAACTGAAGGCGCGTGTGATGCAGAGGGCCCATGTGTAGCTGCAATTGAATGATCTCTATCAGGTGGGAGGGATGCTGGGGTTTGATACCCGTCTGCCTGCCATTGAGGATAGCTCCGAGCGGGGTACTCATTCACGTTGAAGGCATCTGGATAGCAGTTGTTCATCAGAGGTGAAGACCATGACTGTGACATGTCTGACTGCATCATATCGGAAGGATTATTTGTGTTTCCCCACGATGGGTACACTGTGGGGTTCACCATTGGAGTGATAGGCACAGGCTCCATTGATCCAGGATAACACTGGGCAGGTGAGGTTGAAGATCCCATCGAGTAATCCATTTGCTGCATCCCAGGTTTGTTGCATAGTTTTCCCGGCTGATTTGACGGCCTGTTACCCTGGTTCTGAGACGGACTTGGTGAAGCGGTCCCACTCGGTGCCTTTTTTGCTGTAATTTTGGCCACTTTGCTATATTTCTTTGCCAATTTCCAATCTTCAAATATTTCCGGGTGTTGCTTCTTCACATGCCGAGACAGACTTTTGTTTGTACTGTATGCCCTTGTGCAGTCATTATACGGGCAGCAATGCAGGTTCTCGTCATTGCCGGCAGTAACAGCTGGCGAGCTGGAAGGATATCCTTGCAGTGAACAAGGAATTTCGGTCTTGATTTGACTTGGAGAAATTATTTGTGGAATCGCTTTTGTGAGTTCATTGCCCTGTACATTCTTAAGGCCCTCGCCCTGTCGACTCGCCAAAGGGTTTGTTGCACTCGGTACAGGATTTACTGGAGGGACCTCACCTTGCCCAGCAACCTTATGGTGTGCAGGAAGAGCCTCCGGTGTGGGTTTCGCATCAGAAGGTGCTGGAGTGGGGTTTGTTAGGGGAGTGTAGCATTTCTCTGGTTCTGTGATTTCACCATCTGCCGCAGAATTCAGCATGCTTTCAATCGAGTGTTTCACTCTCACAGGAAGAGGTTCTTTAGCAAACTCAGCTAATCCGCCTGGTGATGAGTCTGATTTTGATGCCTCCACCATGTATTCACTTGAATTAATCCTTTCAATGCAGACATCAGCAGCACAGGTGTTTTCATTGCTCTGGGTGCCCTCGGGTGGTGGTTCTACTTTCAAAGTATCAGGAGGGTTTTGGTTTGGGATGGGCAAACTGTTGACTGCATTGTTTGTACGATGAATCTCTTGGTGGGACAAGAACTGAGACTGTGAGTAGAATATTTTGCCACAGTTTTCTGTTTGGCAGGTGTACGTAAGGTAATGCTGAGCCTCGTGATCATACAACAGGTAGGCCTCACTGAAAATATGGCCACAGTTGGGGAACATGCACTGGGCCTTAAATTCAGGATGTGTTTTTCGATGCATTAGAAGCTCAGAATTGGAGTTAAAGTTGGCCTTGCAATCCAACTGTATGCAGATGTACGGCTTGCTGCCACAGTGCATCTGCAAATGATCATTAAGATGTCTGACGTTTACAAATTGCCTTCTGCAATACTGGCACACCACTTTCTGTTTTTGTATCTCTAAAAACCTCATGGCCTCTTCGTCGTCCTTGTGAGATCTGACGTGAGCCATGAGGTTGCGGAAAAACTTGAAAGCCTTGGAACAGTTTTTGACAGGACAGAAACAGTCCTGACTTATGTGTGTGTCCGATGTAGTTTGTTCTATCTTAACAGGAGAAGCCAATTGGTCGCCAATATGAGATTCAATTTTAACAGGACTGATGCTCACCTTGGCAGCAACTTTTGACATTTTTGATGGACTTTTAGGGGACTGAGGTGGTTTGGTTACCTTTCTAGCAGCTTTCATCGCGGCTAGTCTCTCTTTGCAAGATTGCTTTACATGTGATGCTACATGTGGCTCTAAAATCTCCCTAGTTTCAAAACTGTCAGCACAAATTGGACAAAGATACACTCCGTCTTTGAAGTGCTTCTGCGCATGGCGAACAATTCTGTGACCCAAGAACTCCTTGTCACACAAAACACAATACTGCATGTAGGCTCGCCAATTTCTGAACCGGGCCGACACAAAACCCTGCTCCCGAAGTTTTTTAGCTTCTCTGTTTTTCTCTCTTTCATCCGTGATTTCATTGAGTTCATTTGTAGTGGTTAGCAGAAAATCTTCCAAGTCTCTGTATTCAGGGAGTTTGCCAAGTGTACTTTCCACCTCCTGTTCATCTGTGTCGTTGAGCGTGTCAATAGATGACACAATAGCTGCCTCCTCTCCCATCAGTGCCAAACAGTTGCGTTTCAGTGTTTTCCAGTCCCAGAACTCTGGATCAAAAGGCCACTGTGTCTTGAAGGCCAGCAGTAACTCGCAACGTAATGAATTGGGCACTGGTAGACTCTCGTCCTCCTCAGGCTTTTGGTCGGGTTCGTTGTACAGTGACTCCACGGCATAATATGAGTCAACGGTAGGCTGGAGGAGGAACTCTGTCAACTGGCATGCACGCTTAACCTCTAGATCAGTTGGCAAGAGGCAGGAAATGGTCTTGCACATGGTGGACTTGCTATCTTTATGGTCACTGGATGTCATTTTCAGAGCTTGGATGCACATTTCCACACACACTGGAAGCCCCACCTCTCCAACCTACGGAAATAAAAAAGAAACATAAATGCCAAGGGGTTTTATTTTCAGGCCCATTTAACAGATCTAGTTTCACGTTGGTGTGAATGGTTATGTGTAACGGTTCCGCTATCGGCTACAAATGTGTAGATATTTCTCTTACCTCGTTTTGGATTACTTTAATTAGGAACAGAATATGACAGAGGCTTCTAGAGAGAAGAGCCATCGCTTTGCTGTGTCCAAGAAATGCATCGGATGACGACTCCAAACGCATAAGTAGCTTACTCCAGAACAGTGTGAGTTCCCTGCAAAACATCACAAACACAACTGTTAGAAACAACTAACAATTATTTTCATTACTGATGAATCTTTTGATAATTTCTCTAATTACTCTATCTGAAATTGAAAAATATGTAAATTGAGATTACAGATGACCACAAATCTAAAGGTGTACTGCATAGTTTTAACTTCAACTGCTGTAGTATTAAAGAGTGCGAGTCATTCATTCACAGGTGGCCTATCTTTCCTCAAGTACTAAGCACAGAGCCTGCCTCTGCAATGTGCTCAACAGTGAGGGTAGCTTTGTGCATATGATGGAGAGAGATTAGGTTGGATTCAAGTCAAATGCATTATGCATTTTCTCCATGACCACTGCATTCCTGAGAGTAATTGTGTAAGTGCTCCAGGACTATTTGAAACAAACAGGATCACTCACCAGGCACAATAAACATCTCCTTGAAGTAGCTGTCGCTTGAGAAAGGCCGAACATAAGCAGAGAGCTCCTTTCTCGTCTCCCTCTGACTCCAAGTTGCAGATCATTTCGAGAGCATCTTTACAGTCTATTGATGCAATCTGTTAGGAATAAAGAGAGAAAAGAAAATCAAAGAAACAGTACATTTAATGTACATGACCATCTGTCACATCTGGCAACACTGTTGGGATAGTTTGTGATGATGAATCAAACAAATGTTGAGTGTTTGCTTGTTTGATTCAAGTTCAAATAAGTCCGTCTTCGGTCCAATTGTTGGTTTGTTTAAATGATCATGTTACACAAAAAACATGTAAGACTTAAAAATAGCCTAAAGTTTCTGTTTGCAGATTGATAAAATAAGATATAACACCACTGATCACTTGTTCAAACGGCCAACGTAATGACTTTGTGTGTACAAGTAACTGTGTTACTGTGAGTCATCTCTTACCTCGTCCATTAGCTGCTCCTGACTTTTGGTCATGCAGATGCAAAGCAAGTAGGTTTGCTTGAAGTTTCCCTTTCCTTCATATCCCGGATACTCTGAGCACATTTTTGCGAGTACAGCAGCTTTATCAACACTGTCCACTTTGATTAGATGCTTTATTCTCATATTCAGAAGCGTGGCACCTTCCAACTCAAGATACTCATGAACTATGAAAGAAAAAGTAGAAAAAGACGGAGGCAAAGGGTAAGAAGCTGCACACAAGTATAATACACACATTGAACAATTACAATTTCGTGCAACTACAGCTGTACACATCAGTGCGGTGCATCCTCAAAGCCAATAAGAACTGACCTTGCTCAGTTTGAGGGATTTGATTGGACATGATGCTGCTTAGTGTGTCGTTGGACCAGACGCCGTCCTGTTGCGCTAGAATTGAGAGGAGGCAAAGCTGTGTGCTCCCACTTTCTTGCAAGAGGCTGTGTGCCAACTGCAACAGAAGATAAATAAAGATGTAGTAACCTCATTACTAAAACCTCAGTGAGTCATACTTACCGTTAGACTGTCTACATTCTAAAATAACTGTTCAGACAACGTTACTGTACCGAACGTGTCACCATGCAACAGTTTACATTTCTTGAAAAGCAGCAGTGAACAAAACATTTCATGAAATGT